CTGTAATACTGTAAGCCAATACATCCTTAAGTCGAGTAAAATTATTTGTTCTGAATATAGCAGGATTCTGGATCGATCTGATGCGTATGAACATCGGTCTTGTTTATTTCCGCGTAAATTTAACTTTAAAAAATCGAACCTCATTTGGAACAACGTACTATTTTCTTTAGTGCACCTGTATATCAGCTGTTCAAACCGTTCTCGTGTGCGACAATAATTGTAGACCTTGGCGACGCGTGTAACCTTTATAGCAGTAGTTCAATTCGTAATAAAACCTAATTCTTTTTAAACTATGAATAGGGCTCGATTTATAAAAGCGAATTCTCTATTATTAAAGTAGAAGGAGAATGGACTAATTCAGTCGTCAAAGAAATCTATCCTCGATCAGATCGCGTGGCAATCGTACATTATTACAAAGTCTGGAATCAATTTTTCCCTTTGCTTCTGTGAATATTTGAACACTCGGATCGATTCTCTTCGTAAAAGAAAGAACGATGGAAAATATACATTAGCAACGATTTCACACAACGTAAATATACGATCGTGTTACAGTTGTCTAAAAAAACCAGTACCCGTAACGTTAAAATAGAAGATGTTCGGATAAATAAAGTCGATTCTATATACGTACTATATGAATACCGCATTCGAAAGCTGGGCGTTACGACGTGCACATGTTTGCAATAGCTACGATAAACGTCCGCAGCCATCTATATTCATACATGTTCATATAGTTTTTAATATTCTCCAGGTACGTTTACAAATACGCTTGATAAGCTCCGTTTCGCGTGTATTAGATGCCCTTTCCTTCCGCCTTTATGTTACAGCCTGGAATTTCACTTGATTATACCTTGTAAACTATTGATTTAATAAAGTCATAAAATATCGAGCGGTTTATCTCGATGCGAAGGCGGGTCAGTTTGGCAAATGCCTGAGTGAATTATGATGTCCCTATGCTTGAATTGGAATTATAGTGTGCAATTATACGAACAACGTCTAAGCCTGCTATATCGTTTCTCTAATTTATTTCGAAACTCGATTTGCGTGCATAGTCGTAATGAGATTCAATTCGACCTTGAAAACTAAACTTCTGTAGGTTGCGCGAAAGCTTTTCTCTCTCTCTCTCTCTCTCTCTCTCTCTCTCTCTCTCTCTATCTATCGGTCATGGCCAAGGAAGACAAGAATAGAGATAGTATTCCGTTAATTTATTGGTTTAGTACTTAACGAATTATAAAATTGAACAGTAACGCAGACAAGTCTTCGAGAGTAAACTATACTATAGTTTTATTGCAAGAGACTTGAACGGTAGTCCGAAAATGAAATGCCCCGAGTTTAAGAAAAACGGTGTAAAATATATATCCTTGCTTTCACTATTGAGGATCAAGGCTTGTAAAGGCAGGTACAAGAGGGTCAGATCTTAAAGATGTCGCAGCTGAGACAGAATTCCAGAGTAAAACGAAGTTTCTAGATATGAAGGATGAAATGATGGGTTTGTGAAAATTCTCGGTATATGTGAATTAGAATTATATCTAACTTAAGTACTAGATAACGTTGATATACAACAGTAAGTCTTTTCTTATGCGTATAATTGTACTACGTACTTGCTCTTGAAATATTATATTTTCTGAGAGAAACGCGTAATCTTTATCGCAAGTGTAGATTCATACGATAACGCGATAGTAAATTGATTATAGAAATACGTGAAAGATATAGTTGCTCTTTGCATCGACCGACATTAATAATATATTGAACTGGTAAACGTGAATGAAAGAATAAACGAGGAGTTATCGACTAACAGGTGTTGCGTAATAACGTCAATAACTAAAACCGAGGAACGAATCCGAGGAAGAAAGGAAATGTCTTAAGTAGATTGATAGTATTTGTAGAGCTTTCGCAAATCGTGTTTATCACGGAACCAGGAACACAGTTTGTTTTGCACGTGGCAAACAAAGATTCATATGATCACAATTTCAAAATACTTATTGGATTCTCTTCGAGTTCGATATATTTGGAAGATTGTGAAAATAGTCTATTCAAATGATTACTAAATGGTGGCAAAGAGATACCTTAGTCTGAGAATTTGGTACTGTTATTACATAATACTGACGTTGGCAGACAGTTTTTGGAAGAGTCGAAAGACGTCAGACAGTCATATACCTATTTTAAAGGACAGCGTGTTCTTTCGTCCTCGGTAGACTGCTCGTATATAAAATTGGCACGAAATCGTTCGCCTTGATGAAAGACAAAATGAAATACAAGGGAATATCGCGAGGAAGCGTTACACTGCGTTTAATAATATTTTATTTGAAAAAGTAAGCAAGAATTCCAATGAGTTTCGCATGTAGTGCCTTTCTTTATTGCATAATATCGTTCGAGTTAACGAGTGGAAAGAAGCGTTGCCCGCTTCGGTTGGTTCTCCAAGTCGAAACAGAATGGTCGACCGGCAATGTAAGAAAGGAAAGGCCTGCGGTTCAGAGCAGGCCGATAAGTGCCGGTTGCTAGTTACGAGAGAAAGAGGGGACGCTCGTGCGGAAGCGAGATAATCTTTGAGCCTCAGAGGGGAAAGGAGACCCGACCGACCGTCGAGCAGACGTGAGTTCGTGAGTAGAGCTCGATCAGCTGGGAATGGGGCTGGATTGCCACGTTTCCGTACGTGACCCCCGGCTGGCGACCGTGTCTGCTTCGTGGATCAATATTACCGAGAATTGGCAACCCCGCAGCTATCCAACTCTTTATTTATACGTGTCGGTCAGACGGCGCAGGCCCGCTCTGATTCTTCCTTTGCTCGCTTTTGTCCTTCATCGCTTTCCTCCTCTTGGCCTTTGCCGGTTTGCTACACGATTCTACTATTTTTTGAAAGGTTAATTGTCCGTCTAGCCATAGCTGTACGCATTGGACACGTTGGCACTTCGGATAAAAATGAGTCGGGGAAGAGTAACCGTTCTAGGCGAATTTCACTGAAAATCCCTTTATTCGGATCTTATACGTCTCCGTGTATAAATATTTTTAGATTCGGTGAATTATAGATTGGTACGATCAGGGACGGACAAATGCCGAGTGCATTGCGCTCGGACGCATAGTCTGAATGAACGTCCTGTCGTTCGTTCAACCTCTCCTCGATCGCTCGTTTCGCACCGCACATATTACAAGCCTATTGGACGCTTACCATCTGCGTCTGGAGGAGACGTTACTGCTTATAACGCGATCAAAGAATTTTGAATGTTATCTTATCGTTTAATATTTTGATAAAGGCGGGTTACTTGGTAAAACGTCCTTGGTAAAATATCAAGCAGCTTTCTATTTGATCAAAGTCAGTTTATTATAATTATGTGACAATTACACTTTAATAATCAAAAGTAGCTTTAATCTTTTCCTTATTATCGTTCTTTTAAAAATCTATAAATTTTCTATTACGCTCCAAGCATCAGAAATAGATCAAACTTACTCAATGTATTCGCCGTTCATCTGTTTTTACGACAGTAAAACTCTCGGTCAAATTTTTGCTAACAGTGAAAGGAACAACAGGCTCATTAATTACGCCCCTACTAAATTCTTCTATGTTTTTCTCATTCTCTGGTTATGTCATGCTTGTTTTTCCCAGCGTCTCATCAACATTTTAGCGAAATGACTCTCTGTCCAGCTTCGGCCTTTCAAATAACATTAATCGATGCGACATGATACCAAAATAATTGTTCTTCTACATTTTTTGCACAACTTTTATACGTGGCAATTTTGTAAAACTCCGTGGGCGTGCTATTCGCCGCTTTTTCATATAAGTTCTTCTCATGCTCTGTTGCTGATCTATTTGCTGATTCTTTCTTCTCGTTCGCGGGCTAACAATAGCGCGAACTTCGTTATTAAAAATTTCCTACGTACGGTTCCCGCGCGTTCACTAGGAGCCACAAAGGTCGATATACCCAAGGAGCGAGGAGTATCTCTATCCTCTCGACTCCCACCCTTACGATTCTACATCCGCCGCGTCTGCGACCATATTATATATATATTAATATTTATTGTACGATACCGATTTTATATTGGTCCATTCATTCAACTCTCCTGTCGATTGATGCCTGTAAACGCAATATGTACACATCCCTTCTCTTTCTTGTCATCGGATATCCGGGTTTATTTTCTAAAACAGATAAATATTTGAATACACGATAGAACAAATTTGGCAAATATAATTATAACAAATTTGAATAAATCTTTAATCGTGTTAGGATTATGACATGAACTAAGAGAATCCTGTGAATATATCCATTTTGTTTCTCTATGTATAAAAACGTGCAAAATGATAGTTTAAATAAAACGGTAAGCTTGTCCGTTCGTGTGCAACCTTTCTCCCGTGTGTTATCGTGGGCTTGAAATGCTCGCAGATGGTGACGAGTAGGTAGTTGAACGTTTTCCTGTCTATACATGGTTATGTACAACGCACGCTATTATTACTCGAAAGACTTTGAAGAATATGTTTCATAACACATTATTAATGTAATAGTAACGTGCAATTGCCACTGCAAAATGCATGCTAATGAAGTCGTAACTGTTTGTCATTCAGCATGTTAAGGTAGGGGTAAAACATTGAAAAAGTTAAGAGAGTATTCAAAGGATTCCCTACACAACTTTGCTATGCATTGGATTTGGCATTGTGAATGTAGCCAGGTGATTGCATCGGGCGTACACTCGTGCCGGTCCCTTGAAGCCGTTGAATTTCTTCCCTGGTTGGGAGCCATACAAGTCGGCTAAGTTGGTTCAAGGCCATTCATTGGCACACGCATTCGAGTTTACGCGAAGTTCACGCCATTACAAATTCTTGTTGCATTTAAACACTTCAGAAAAAACTGCAATTTTCGAGGCAGTTCTTTACAGTCATAGAAAATGAAGAAAATCTGTTTAAACGGAAGTTGCAAAATAGCCATGACATTCATTGCCAAATGTGTTCGGATGTACGTTGCATTGAAGCGGTAAAATTGGCAGCAAAATTTATTTGCGTCTCTGATTGTTTTTACACTTTATATGCAAACTGCGATACACACGGATGTGGCAACGATGCAAGTAATTGAGAACGCGAGGACATATAATCGTTTTGCGCTGCGTCCGCGTATGCAGCGCGAAAAGAAACAAACAAGGGTGGCTCCTCCTTGCTCGTCAATGTTTTATATGCTCTTATTTTCTATTTAGAGCTTATTCGACGACGTATTCGCAAGCGTTCATCATGTAAATTGTGTATAGACCGGATTAACTGAATCCGATAGACAAAGGAAAATATGAACGTAATACCATGACGTCCGAAATGCAGACTCTGTATTCAGAATAGGTTCGGAAACTGTTCTAGATCTAGATATCAACGCAATAACACTTGCCAGCTTGGTTTTTCGATAAACCGCTACGCAATCGCCTATGCATATTTTTTCCACTATCATTTATACTTCGATGATAGAACATGTTGCATCACACGAGCAAATTAGTCGTGCAAGATAATAGAGGTCAGAAATGCGATCAATGTACACTTCCTGTTCTCTTACCCTTGCGCACGTGCAAGGAAACAATAGAAAATGCAAATCAATCCTTCTACTCTACATTTCTGCCCTGCCGATTTCGGTTTTCCCGTCAGTTGTAGCAAATTCACTTAGAATCTGTGAACCGATTAAATTAGAGCCTTTATTCTGATTCGTGTTGAAGATATCGGGGGAGGATCGAAGATTGTTCGCTGCTTGCAACAGTGCAGCGTATTTGTCGTCTTTGTTTTTTTGTTGACGGCTCTTGACTAGCTTGTTGACTCATCACGTTCGCAGCTACATATGCGACGTGCAGTTACTGTTGTCACTACATAATTATGACGCATTGTGTAGCTTATTTTTTAATACTGTCGGCTGTTTATTTTTATTTAATAATTATAGTTGTTGTAACGAAAATAAATTAATAACGGGTGAATAATTTGTTCTATCCGTAAGAGACCAAAATACGAGTTTCACTTGGAAAGCGTAAAAAATGGCGCTGTACAAGTTGGGCGTTTTCGATGGAATTTCCTAAAGAGTCAGAGGGAAAATTTTATTTCATCGTCAGTAGCTCTAATTTATATAATCTCGAATAAAAGGAAAGCATGCGTTTACATAATTTGTTAGCCGTTCGTGTCGCTACATCGCGTCGTTCATTTTGTGCTACAGTACTAGAAACCTCTGGAAATTCATTAGAATGTACATATGTACGATATTTCGACCTGGAAACGACGAGAGTGAACGAATTCGTAACGCGTTTGGACCTGAACGAAAATATGTATACAACTTCTGGTCGTATGCGGTAAATATCTTTATGATGCAATGGCGTCGTTTGCTGATGTGGCAAGCGAGCCTGGAAACGTTTAGCCTTCGGTATCGCTGCGACAACGGTACGTGACCGGAATGGCGACGCAAATGGCGAGTGGCTTGTTGTGGCGACATCCATCGGAGACGCGATCGTTACGATTTCCGTTCGACGATACGCCGCGCCGAGAGATGTCGCAGCGATGCCGAATCAGAAATGATCAGGGCCGTAACAGTAATTCAAATTTCAACAATGTGAAATTAATAAAAACTTTTTTCTCTGTTAGTGTGCAGATTTCGTGAAAGCGGGGGCAGAGCAAGGATTGACACCATCCGATGTGGTGCTCGCAGCTGACATCACGTTCTCTTGCGTAGCTGATCCTCAAGCTGCTAAAGACGTAATTATCTATCTAGTCACTGTATTTCTAAATGTTATCGTCAATATATTAAACGTTGCAACTGTTTCGCAGATGGTCTTTGGAAATTGCGGGGTCCTCACCGAAATATCCCCGGAGAAAGGATACGTAGAGATGACTGGCATAGATGCAGAGACGTCGCAAGATATTGCCGAGGCAATAACCGCTAAAGGTGGCCGGTACTTGGAAGCTCAAGTACAAGGTAGTAAGACTCAGGCCCAGGAAGGCACCCTGGTCATTCTCGCGGCTGGAGATCGAGGCCTATTCGACGAATGCCAGTCATGTTTCGAGGCAATGGGCAAGAACAGCTTTTACCTCGGTGAGGTCGGCAATGCATCGAAAATGAACCTCGTGCTTCAGTTGATGGCAGGCGTGACACTCGCTGGTCTGGCTGAAAGCATGGCTCTAGCGGATCGCGCCGGTCTCCAACAAAAGGATGTGCTAGAAGTTCTGGAATTGACTTCGTTAGCTTGTCCTGCCATTCTTGACAAGGGAAAAGGTATTGCGCATTTCTTTGCTTCGCTAGAGTGTCACGGTCGTGGTACATTCAGTCGCGATCATTAATAATGTATTTATTCTAATTTTCAGCCATCATCGAGGGTGGTTTCCCGACCCAGCTACCACTTCAGCATATGCAAAAAGACTTAAGACTTTCTTTAGGTATGAGCGATCAATTGGAACAACCATTGCCGCTGGCTGCTGCAGCGAACGAAGTTTACAAACATGCTAAACGCCTTGGTTACGGAGAACATGATGCCTCCGCTGTGTACATCAGAGCCAGGTTCTAACGGAACATCAATCCGTCAAGCTTCTGCTATATCATATTTATTGCAATATAACGTTGTTTCCCGTCGCTAACAGAGAAGAGTAGTTCGCGCTGTTCGACGAAGAGTAGCGGAAACGCTCGCTACGAATCGCTGAAAGAAATGCGTCGCGACTTAGATTAAGTTCTATTAATTTTGCACAGTAGCAGTAAAGTTAAACCACGCAGATGTCGTCGTTTATTTAATGCGACGGGAAGTCGCAAAACATGACGAAATCTACTTTTACTTTCTCTTTTTTACATGTTTTTCAAGACCACTCCTTCTGCGTACACGTCTACGAATGAATTTATTCATTGATTTTTTTCCTCCCGTTTGTTTTAACACTGGCGACTACTTTTCTCGATAACAGCGTGGGCCTTGATATAGTCGATTTCTTGAGTCGCTTCCCGACTTCGATCCCGTAAAATGCATCCCTCGCTCTCGCTTGATGAATTTGAGACTTGGGACGTGTCGAAAATGTGCCTTACGATACTATTTGAAGCAAGGCTTTCGAATATTTTTCTCTTCTTTCGTGAGACAGCACAAAAAATAATTTGAATTACTTCCGTCGCGACTGACTTTAGTTTTCATATTGGTAACTAAGGGAGCGATACGTGGGAAAATGTTAATTGTTAATAAAGGAGAGAAATGATGAATTGGTATCTTGTAGGATTAATTGGTGCAATTGTAAACTGGAATTCACCGAGGCGAACTTCTCAGATTTGTAAAACCGAAAAATTAATTTGGTAGTATTTTAGAAGCATCCATCGGATAGATCGAAAATGATGACAGAATAATCAGGCCAACATCTTTTCAATCCATGCTTGTCTTCTTCCTTCAAACCGTTATTTTATTTTTCAATAAAAAACTTTTCTATTTTAATCGTACATATTTATACCCCGATGAACCGAAAAGATAATTTATAATTGTTTACTCTCGTAATGCGACCTTATGGGAAAAGAATGAAAAGCATGTTGGCCAATTGTATCTTCCTCATCTAATTATCCGTCCTGGGAAACTTCTGATGTATTGCCATAAAAATTCCAATTTCGACTAACAATTTGGAAATGTCTTGCCGCTCAGTGCAATGAACATTTCTGTTTTCATCGACATGATTCTTAAATCGACGGCAACGTTGAATAGTTGTATCTTAACGACATTACGAAAATGAAAACTAGATGAAATATTGTTTATTATATGTATATTACGGTACATGGAGGCTCGGTGAACGTACAAGTAGTGAATGTCCCTCCAATTATTTGGTTACAATAACCAAATAAGGAATCCTATATTATGAAATTGTACATTTGCATTAAATGTTGGGACATGGTATGTATTTAGAATTACTTCACAACATAGTTTAGCATAGTTATTACTTGCACGTGCTTCTCTCTCATCAGTTACTTCAAAAATCACGTTATAAATATAATTTTATATCGCTTCAACTTTCATAGAGATCTGTATATTTCGCACGATGAGAAAAGACATAAAATATATGCCTTTGATGCTAGAATTTTTTCTATATCCGTAATTTTCTACTAACTTTCATAATCGATGGTATCGCGCGTTTAACGGACGCGAACGCGTGTCGGAACGGTTCTCGGAACGATTTCCACGATAACGTGCTCCAGCTCCCCTCTCCTGTGCACACGCTTAAATAAAGATCATTTAAAGAAGAGAATCGTCTAGACGAGGAGGGAAGCGAGTGTCGCTTCCGTTTCCCAGGACGGTCGTGCGAGTCTCACAAGCGACACGCGACGAAGTCGAGAACGACCGAAAGGTTGCGGGCTTTGTGCAGAAAGAAACAGTTGGGTTTTTAGAATAAACCGTATGAGTTTGCCTTTTACTATTACAAGAAATCGACGAGTTTTCTCTTCCCTTCACGGAGAGACGAGAAAATAGCCCTGTCGCGAACTTGTCTCCGTTGGGAGCAATTTTCCAGAAACAGTTAGACGATAAAGACACATCAGTTCATTCGGCGTGACTATCCGGTGAACGGTTATTGATTTTAACGATGTACATGATCCGAACATTTTTTTAATCGATTTCTTTTATGAATTACAAAGGGGAACTCGTGTTTATTAGTTGACAGGAGCAAACTCTGGATGCGTGGGAAATTATGTACCGTGTAGCTAACAGTGGATATAGGTACTCATATCATATATTGTATATGTAATTAGACTATCTACACATAGTTCTAACGATGATACATTGTACAGGTATGAGATGAAGCAGGTATGATGGATAAATAGAGAAAAATATTAAATATTCTACGTGCAAAAATAAAGAAAAAAAAATATATACATGCATATAGCTAGTACAGAGTATAAATCACAGAGAGGGAGGAATTCGTGTGAATGCGAATGGATGAATGAGAACATTATGAGCATTGCGTCAGTAACTGGCGTTATATGTTTTGTCACAAAATACACTGGTTTTTGAATAAATATCTATTTGAATTACGAATATGCTTATTCAGAGATCCTCGCCGGCCTGTTTTTATCTCTACCTCCATATTTCGAAGTTTGCCATATACAATATCTTTTTCACTTGATAAATGCGGGCCCATAGTCGGCGGTGTATCCGTTCATTTCTATTGCGTAATATTCAGAAATATATACTAATGAATATGATCAACGTTCAGACGGGCCGTTAAATCGTCTAAGGTCGTCTCCTAATGATTCCCATTAGGAGCCGGCTAATTTAAAAAACTGGTCGATATCGTTTTAAGTTGAAGCGTTGCAAAGCACGTGCCGCTGACGCGACCACGCGCGGTTCATAGGCGCCGCGAGTGGAGCAAATGATATTGCATGATTAGAGAGGAAGCGCAGCGTGGAGTGGTGTGCGCACGCGTCTCCTTCGCCGCGGGTGGAAGAGACGTGTACGTGAAAGTAGCGACCACGAGAGTGGGGACTCGGAAGGGCGGATGAGGTATACGAAGTGGAGGCAGAGGGGTGGAGCAGCCGCTGTCTGATGACACCTGTGGCTCGACCCCCACGATCAGTTCAGCCGCGACCGTCCACACGCCGTCTTGTTGCGACGTTTTTGCAACAGCAACCACTTCACCTACACATGTGCATACATTCAGCACGCACACGCGCTCGCATACACTGCACGTTCAAGCCTCCGATCGACACAGGGATAAATATACCTACGTGTACGCTCGCAGCGTGCGGGATTCACGTGTACATAAGTATGCACACGGACGCCAGTAGGCGCACACGTGCAAATGGGTAATTTTTACCTTTCGTCCACGTGACAGACCGTCGTGCGCATCTGCCATTATCGTCACCGAGAACTGTCATTGTGCACTCTTTCGTTCGAGATAAGAAGGAAGAGGAACGCAAGGAGCAGTCGTTCTTTCCCAGTATGTACCCATGGATATTATGCCTTCCTACGATCGACATTTTTTTTTCTTACGAACGCATATTCCTGATCCCCATATCGACCAGCCGTCTTTTCACGTACGCCGTTGACAACTGCGGCCAGCTCCCTCTGCCCGTTTCAGCCGAAGCTCCTACGTTTGATTCTGGTGTTGATAGATGCCTGATACGATTGACGTCTATGTAGATCCTAGGAACAAGGTCGTCGATGTAGAGCGTTACTTTCTAGACTTATTGTTAGATTCGATCGGGTACTCGGATCCATTGAAATCTCGTAGACGCGTTCGAACTCCCACAATTATTTTCGACGGATCGCGAGACCGACACGTTCCGTGTGTTACGAACGAGTCTGATGGCGCGTTTACGTTTTCACCGTATGTGATACTTTCCTCCGTGTTTCCTGTAATATCCGAATCGTCGTCGACGTCAGTAACGATGACACGTTACAAGTGGACTCGAACAAACCATCGTTAGGTACGATCGGGGAGAACGTTCGCAAATAATAGTTGTTTTCTTGGTAGTGTTTCTTGGCACGATCTTGCGAACGACCTTATTCCTAAGGAATGATCGGTGGTGTTGCGATTGTGCGCAAGAAAACAGAACGTGGCCTGTATGCCCGGCAATGCGAAACGAAACAGGCGTGTTTCTCTCCAATGTATTTACGACGCATGTCGTACGGAAGCTAAAGATTCAAGAATTTGTGCTTGTGATCGCGCGTCTTCCCGTCTACTCCATAGTGAAGTGGCAATCGTAATAATGGCAGAACGGTTCTATTAGGATCCGTTTCCGAGGAGTTAACAGCTCGTAAGTAAATTATGTGTACGTTCAAATCAATTTCGTCCTCTCAATACTTACGATATTACGTCGTTAATATTCTGGAATTTTTACTCGTTGCTCGAGAGAACAGATAAAATCAGAAAGAAGGGGGAACGGGCGATAACTTTGAAAGAATTCGTGAAATAAGATTAACTCTTGAATTTTTTGCGGTGCGGTCACAAATATATCTCTTTTCCACCAGATGCTCGGCTCTTTGCTAAAGCTGATCATCGGTTAGACGTGCATCGAGTTTGAAAAATAGCTCGCGTCGTCCGCGGCGCTATCTCTCCTATTTCTCTTTCTTTCTCGATTGCTACTTCTCTCCTTGTCGCTCGGTAAATAAGACGCGTGCTGTATCTACACGTATCGAGCGCACATGTGTTGGATAAATAAGCGAAACCGTGTTGCACGTACAATAGACGGGGAGTGTTGGTATCCACACATCTTGGACGGGGATCCGACAAATATAGATACCCGCGGTATTCGTCTGCGGGCACTCACACCAGTTGGGATCACGTAGGAAAGGAGGTGAAGGGGAAACGGGAGGGAGAGATGGTAGAGGAAATAGCGTGGACAGATTCCATTTGTGTGCTCGTCGAAATATATTCGTATTTTAAATAGAAGTAAAGATGAGCTTCACATCAAAATGTTATATCCACTCTCGATGTCTTTGACCGATTTCCTCTGTCTCGATTACATTATTCTCGAGAACAGGAGACCTCGCTCCGTAGAACTTGCTATCAAAAATTAATCTGTACAGTTTTGTTGAATAAGCAAGACCAGTGTTTGTAGTTCACTGAGTCAGCGGAATAATTTTCGCATCTCAGTGAAAACGCGTATCTGCACGTATGTAAATGAATAATAAGGAATGAAGACTCGGGCGTCCTGTGTGTGTGTTTGGTCAAGAGAAGTAGCAAATGATGGCATATTCTTTGGTGTGAGTGCCATCATGTTTGCATCGCTCAGGCTCGCTCGAGTGGGGATGGATATGTTGAGTTAGGAGGATCAGCGCGTTCCATTGGTGGGAGAAACAGCGTGGACAGGTTGCGTTCGTGCTAAGCCGAGTCTCGTCGCCTCGCATTCCGAGACGCGGATTCCGGGGCGGTTTTCTTTTAAAGGAACAGTAAGCGGGACAGAGAAGGGACGTCGAAGAAAAGGATGGGAACGCGGGAGAGAGGACGAGAGAGAGAAAGAGAACGAAAGAGAAGTAGAACGCTTACGGTACCGATTTTCCAGCAAGCATTCGTGTCTTTTTCTGTGGTACAGTTGATATAGGGGGCTTTTTTTCTACATCGCGTCGATCAGCGCCGCGCACAAATACGAGCTATAAGGGTAGAACGATCGTTGCACCTACAGCTGCTTATCGAGACTGGATCACGATCCCATTTAACGTACGTCCTTGAATCACGTAACGCTTTTACTCCCCGACTTTTCGCCTCGTTACCTATCCTTCGAAAACATCTTTGGTTCGAAGCTGAAAAGAACGTGTATACTTTTTAACTATCGTCGTATCGGTACCACAAATGAATAGAAAGTTTTTCTTGACTTTCGACGTACGACGTTCATCAGTTTCTATTTCTTCACGTTAATTTTCGAAATGAAATATTGATAAACCGGATGAATGAATTAGCTTGAAAATGTTAGTGAATCGGCGAGTAGGTCATTTGCCCTTGTTATGCCGGATACTTTCGACTTGAGCTGCCGGCGAAAACGGTACATCGTTCGTAAAAGGTTTGCGGCCTGTTCGCGTGTTTCTGCCGACCGTCGTACACGATTACTACGATTTAATATACGATATGTACATTCAATTGCACGCTTGTACCACGAAGTGTCGAGATTCCCGATAAAATTTTATCGGCCGCGTAGTTTGCGCAACTTTTTGTCGGCGCATCGATTCCGCGGAGGTATAAATTATTTTGCAACAGATTAATTCAATAGAATAAAGAATGATTTAGAGAGAAACGGAGAAAAAGTACGTCTTATTTGCCATTGTATGTACAATTTTAATGCGCATTTAATTCTTGAGTCGTAGAAGATACAGTGAAAGTGCATAGACGAGTCAGAACCTGTGGGAGAAAGGAATAATTATAGCTTATGACATGCTGTTGCAACGAATGATTCCTAGCATACAAAATATCGTGTTTTAAATATATTCATTTATTGTTTATAGCTCGTTACTAGAGTCAGTCTGATTTACTTTTGATTAGTCACGGTTTAAATTTCTCAATTAGCTGTCGTATAAAATGGTTGCAGTAACTTACAAAAAATATAAAGGAAAATATTATTAAAATCTGAAGCGAGAGTTACGTGTATAAAATCCGAAAAAGAATTCGTGTGGTATCAGAAATTTACATTGACAGGTCAATAGTCACGCCATCTTGGAATTGCACGACCAATCGAGAGATCGGACAAGTAACACGGTCCTCGAAGTACTTGCCGAGCGTAGTTTCTGAACGGTAAACGAAACGCGAGGGACACACTCCGTTGGCCTCCGTCGCTCCTGCGTTCTCTCCCGGGTTCCCTTAGCTTATAAATAAACGATGTGCTCGATGGACTCACCTGGCGCGTTCCGCTTTCAACCGTGACACTTATCTTAACGTTTCGTTTGCTGGAAGACGCGTGTGATCCCTGTGTCATTACGAGGACCGTCGTCGCGAAGCGGCTACCGATTAGTAACGAATCTGAATCCACCGCGGCTGGAGCCAGAGAACGATGAGTCGTTTCATTCGACTTATAATAGTAGTGCGTTCGCGGAGAAATGTGAAAATTCGAAATTCGTTGCATGTGGAATGCCTTGTTGCAAGTCCTTTCACCGAAACGTGGCTCAATTTCGACGGCAACCGACAAGGTTAACCTCCGCGAGATCGTATAATCGATCAATGTGACGAACGGCAGGGTAAATAATATTTGCATCTGCAGTCACGACAAGTTGTAAGTTGTAAATGGAATCGCATCGTGTATAGTGGTTGGCATGTCATCTGGCGGGGCGACCATGTTAGGCAACATTGTTCGCACGTGTCTAGAAGGAGCTGGCTGGCAAAACAGTTTATACGGCAGCGTAGAAGGCGCGTGGAGAGAACGAACGGTTTAAAATGAAAATTGTATTTCTCCAGGTGGCGCCTAAGAGGAAATTTGGAGAAGAAGCATGTCATTATAAAGATTGGTTTTGAGCTGACAAAGAGGAAAATGGGAAACCGCCTTGCGAGACGTACTGGCAACTTGTGAGCAGTGTTGGTTGGCCGTTATCGCGGTGTATGATTCTCAAGGAGATTGTTATACATAACTTAAAGGAACGCAGTTATCTGTCCCGACGGGTTCTCATGATATGCGTTCACGTAAGTGTCGATTGTTTTCTGAGATTGTCGGACAATTCTTATTTTTGATCCCTGTGAAAAACGATGCGTCTTGCACGTAGCTGACCGGGTACAGCATATCAGTACGGTGAATGGAAAGTTAACAGATCACGCGACAGTGATGCAGTGGTGTAGTGTCAGTGCCAAGTGCCACGTGCCCAGTGCTTGGATTACTTGAAGATGCCGTCGTCCGGTGGATACTATGACGACAGGAATCCTTTGCTCAAGGGCACCTTATCGAGGTGAGTCTACAACCTACGTGATTATTTTCTTTATATTTTATCCTAGTTCTGCGAGCGACGCGCGTCTCGGAGATCGGATCCGGAGATTCTGTCCGGTATCATGTTCGTCTTGTACAAAAACTAATAGGTACAAACGACTCGCGTTCGCTTGTGCACGTTGATAATGACCGAGGAGAAGTACATATGATGAAAGATTCATTTTACCCGATTACTCGACTCGGTGGCTCGATCTCCTTGGTGTCTAACCGGTCTGCTTTTAAATACGCTGTCCACTGTTCGATGGACCGTTTCTGATCACGCATTCTGCTGCCGGAATCGAATCCAATAATTCCTCAATCCTTCCGAGCGAAACGTTACCTTATTTTTTAAATATTGATGAATCAAAGCGTAAGGTTCGTTGAACAGTAAACCAGGAACTGTTCTATGTTTACGCTTAGTGTTAAGTACAGTAGTACATGTAGTACGTTTTGCTTACGCACACATACTTTGAGAAATGCAATGTCAGGGTTTCGTTTACTGTTACGGCCGGTATTTCGTACAGTTCGTCGTAATACGTGCCCGATTAGAGAAATATTCGTGGCAACAGTTTCTATCCTCTCAAATTCACTCTCACGCCTTAAGATCGTTCGAAAGCGTAGGCGTGTAAGCGTTACTGCTTAAAATTTACAGTCGGGGACCGTATTAAATGATCATTAAAAACAAAATAGTAGTCTTACAATTGGTCCGGTTGAATTTTCTTTAGACGTTAGAAGAATTAATTTATTAGATGAGAAGTAAATTGAAAAAAAACTACTAGTAGTAGAAAAATTAAATAGTCCTTTTTTACAATCTTTTTATTAGAGCCTGTATTGAATATTTAGATCATACATTTTGTAAATCTGTGTGAATTGTTTTCATGCGGAAAATTTAATTGAAGTTGGTTAATGTTTTTATGAGCTACAGGTGGGGTTAGATATTCCAGGTTTTCACGACTCTTGATAAACTGAAAAAGTTTTATATACTATACTCGCGGGTCCCGAGAGTGCAGGACCGTTTAGCGCAGCTTAAAAGATGATAGGGGTCGCCGCGAACGTTTCAGGCCTCCCTCCATTAGTCCTACCTCATTGACTACGGTTCACGTATGGTATATACGGTAAAGCATGGAGAAGTGGTAAAATGGGAGGGCCATGCGCAGACCGATCAAAAACTGAACTGTGTCCAGCCCCACACACTCGGGACGGCGAGAGTTTGGTATATCTAACTTTTTTATGGTTCTATCGATTTTTATGAATCTTTGCACATGCATATAACTTATTTAAATCTATAAAAAGAATGCCCCAAATTCTTGAGATGCGGCTGTTAGCTTTTTTCATTCTTGTTGACACAACTTAAGAAGTGGTTGACCCGCCGGATCAGATAGGTCTTTTTATTCGTGGAAAATCTTACAAATGGACAATCAAAAACCTTCGAAAATTATGACTCTCCATATAAACTGACGGGAGTACTGCGTAATTGAAGAAACATACAACGAGTATAGCTTGATTGTCTCGTAAGCCCTTACGACCTTCGGCTAGCAATTGGGAAGGTCTTACCATAAAACACAAATGTTTCTTGCGCTTATCCCTTACGGAACTCATATACCTGCAGAACCCAAAGGACAGTATAACGAATTGAAAAACCTTGGAAAATACATCAACTCTACGTGTATCACTTCCCTTCCAACGAGTTCTTAAGGCATTAATTTTTCTCGAGAACGCTGAGGCACGTGAGATAGAGATCAATTCAATCTCAGGCCGATGCAATAATTAGTATGGTATCCTTGACCTTCCTCGCAACGGTAAAATTTGTCGAAATTGCGACCTAACCCAGAACCATAGAATTTTGATCGAGTTATATTTCGTAATTGAGCGTGTGCGAATGTGGGACAGGGTCAGCTGAGCAAAAATGATTTACATATCACTGTTTCTCCGTGCGGATGCAAAATAGTTGAAGGAACATTTCCTCGAAAGCGTGTCCACGGTGTTAATTCGGAATGCTTAAGAATGACGAGATTTAAGTGAAAGTTGCTTAAAAAATCGGTGCCAATAGGACTGATTATTTTATAATGATCGTCTTAAAAAGTCCGTCCAGGGAAAATGAATGGTCGAAAATTCCTCAGAAATTCCTCGTCGGCTCGCTAACGAGCGCCGTATCGCGACAATTTCACCGGGACAAAAGTATCCGACGGCCTCGTTAAATCGCGTCAATTCATTAGAGAACTTCCATCCGCGTCTTCGTCGCGGAGTCCCGACACCGCCGGGTCTACTCCGTAAGTAAACTATGCGTACGCGGTACGAAGTTAGATACGCGCAAGCCGTATTATCGACGATCCTCCGCTGGCCCGGGGCGTGCGACTCGGTAATGGTACCCGGTGGTGGAATTAAACCCGGCTCCCGGATACACACACCGATTCGCTCCTACACAACTAACGAGCTCTCGCGACCACGTTTGTTTCGACGATTTGCCGCGCGCGTGCCACGCGCGTGAGCTTCGTGTTGCGTGTGCACGTACTGGGTATGAATAAAAATTGAACGCGCAACGTCGATTCTACAAATTTAGACGAGACGATAGAGTCAACATCTGAAGGTTCATTTTTGTCAAGCATCTCGGCATCGATTTAAAATGCGCGTTCGTGAATCCGCGATAGAATAGCTTGCATAGTGTCTCACATTTTTCATTGCACTCTGTGTACGCGCGTATCGGGACGAGAGGCGGCTTGTGGTCGAGATGGGCGCTCGCGAGAGAAAGAGGCGCTACTCTCGGGGATGGCACCACCCTTCTGCTCTCATTATCGCGGTCGACCCACGGGGGTCGGTGAAAAGGTCGCCTTTTTGCGTTATTCGTTCGAAGCCAGTGAATTTTTATAATAGTTGACAAAAAGTAAAGGAACGAGACGAAGATCACCCGAAAAAATCAATATCTCATTGCGCCTCGATTCAAGTCCCGATGAAAATAAATGGATTCACCGGTAATCGAATTAATTGTCGCGTCGCGTTCAATTGCCACGACAGTCTGGTGTCGCGAACCATTTTCGAGTCGGATCGCTATTCTTGACGCTGTCGATGGTTCGTAGTATGTAACTTGTCCGTAGGACGACTATTGGAACACAAACGAGATAATGAGAAACCACGGGGTGAAAAACAGACGCAAGGATAGGGTGGAACGGTCGGGTTGGGAAAGGGATAGGTGGAGAGCGGTAGTGCCCTTTTATTTTCATTATCATGGGTGGTGAAACGACGAGTACAAAGCTTTCTCTCTCTCTTTCGTTTCGCAGGGAATATCAACGAAATCGAAGTAATTGCTTTAATAGGTGTAATCAATTAGCACGTTGATAGATCCATGCTTGAAACCTGGGGAAAGGGCGGTCGTGTACTTTAACATGTTTGCTTACAACCAATCATATTTTGATGATTCCCTGCTGCTATTTTAAGGCGTTGGGTGAATCACTTCGGTACTCATTGTAAAAATAGTCGAATGCCAGGCGTGGCAAAAAAATGACTGAGATTAAGACACGGTTATATAGGTACAGTTTTGAAACTTGTAGTTAAAAACAGTAAACAAGATGAAAAGTCAGAATCGGGAACGAAGGATTGAACACGAAATTCGTATCGTATATTCTATATTACCGATTGTGAGGTATTACCATTTGCAAGCTTTTCTGTATCCAGTTTTCAATTAGTTATTGAAAATGTCTTTGTAGAAAGTTATTGTTTTCTCAACTTGCGACCCATTGCACACACGCGTTGTGCATTGGTTGAGTGATGTTTCGCAAAGTTACAATGCGAAGCAGAAGAAAAAGACTTGAAAGAGGACGAGGAGGCGAGAAGGCGACCAACGTAGCGGCGCCTTACTTCTTTTCTCATTATCTTAACCACTGGGTTCCAACGGTATGCAACGTTCTTGGTACAGTAACCTCTTTTTCCCCTCGCTCTTTATCGTTCATTTAACAAATTCTCTTGATCGAACAAAAAGCTCACCCCAAAGTATAATTCATTTCGTTTCTTGTACTTATTTCCTTACTGGCTATATACATATAAACGTACATTAGACCCACGTGACGCAAAGAAATAGCACTTGGCAGGAAATATTTTGGTTGCAATCTTATCTTGCCAGTTGGATATAATTATTAAAACGTTCATTGTCAAGGCGAAACTGTTAGTCGTAAGGAAGCCCATTTATTCTACATCGTGTCGCTCAGTTGCAATAACAATTACGATTCGTGTGTCGTCAATAGTTTCGATTTTTTATCGCTTCTGACGTCCGGGAAATCGAACGAGGAAATACTCGCAGAAAAATACTTATTCAGTTCGTTTAG